CTATCAGAAACTCAGAGATCTGAGAGGAAACGTGAGCTAATGTTAACGCCCTTGAGGCAAAACCTCAGTGAAATTCTTGTATCTTAAGCAACTTCTCTGTGCACTTTGAAAAGTCTTGTAGTGCCATACAAGACAGAAAATTTTAGGAATTTGCCAAACAACTATGCCCTACTACAAATGCAGACAATCTCCAAATTATAAACTACTTTTATTCATATTATTGGGGCAAGAAACCTGCCTCTCCTGCACTTACTGTTACTAAGTTTTAACCAAAATTGAATTGCTCCCCACAAATATTAGTAAAATAGCCAGGATCGTACAATTAATACTTTCCCTTATAATAATGTAGCCAATCATAGTGGCCGCGCGGTCTAAGGTATGAACTCCCATCGCCCGCTCAAACGTTGGGATTATGGGTTCGAATCCCACTCAAGGCATGGATGTTTGTCTGCTTTTATTACATATTTGTGTTATTCTGTGTAGGTAGCGGCCCTTTGCTTCAAGTGCGAGCAACAGAAATAGATAAATAGATAGATAGATGGATAGATAGATAACACAATTCAATAGCTGACATATAATCCCTACTACACAAGACCTTACCACAATTGCATTTACTCTCAACTAGGCCTATGAGCTGAATGAAATGAGGGATCATAAGCACATTCATTCGTCAATTTGTGTGAGAATTTAATGGAAGTTTTCACTTCATTTTCACGTTTCTTGAAGGTTATTTTCGTAACTCATGTGACCACAGTACTTATTTTCAAATTATATTATATTAGTTTTTGTTACAATAATGTACGATCCCATCTCAACGAAAAATATTAATGGAAGCGATGATTTGGTGAACTCTATAATCATAGTGAAGACAGGGCCCCGTGGTAATCAATTTCGCATTGAAAGTTGCTAGAAGCACAGTAAATTCATCATATGTGCAACATTCGCAGTATGTCTGTTATATGCCTACTCTGCTTTCGCGTCCCCTTGGCATCGAAATGCATGTGCGACCCCTCTGTATGTTGGTGTTAATAAACCAGTTGGTGGGATGGGAACATGTAATGGTGAAGAGCTTTAAATGTAAAAGTATATTGGGGCTGTATCCCACCTTGCATTGAAATTCGAAAGGAATCAGCAAAAAAAAAAAAAATTCCGCCCTTTACCTCCCAGGAATATTCCTGGTACGCATTTCTGTCAGAGGCTGAGTCGACCCCAGAGCCACAGTGCGGCTGGAATAATTAGGCCACACTTGTAATGTGGAAGGTTTAATTACCTTCGTGTTAAAATGGGAAGATTTTAACTGAAACTGCTTACATCATCTAGACGGGTACTATATAAGTGGTACCTATTACCATACTTAATTATTATTAACTGTAAACATGTAAGATGAAGGGGCGAGTAACTATGACATGTACGTATTCCCTTGATGACTGTCCTTTAAGAGATGGGGCATTGAATATGTATTATGCTGTACCTGGATGTTATTTGTTAAATATAGTACAAGTTCGTATGTGTTGGACTTTGGTACATTGAGAAGCTGAGGTGAAGATGCAGATCACTTTGGTATAGTGTAAAGCATGACTACCTCAGAGATACGAGCATATTAAAACGAAGAATATAAATATATTGAATGTACGAGTACGAGTAACAACCGACTTTAACGTGCAGCTTCCAGGTCAAGAAGATACTAAACGTGTTAAGATATGTAGGCTTACACACAGAGTATCAATTGCGGTGCGTTCCTTCCATTAGTTATAAATGTTTAGAACAATAGTAAGACTTGATGAAGGGCCGCACCATAGCTCAAGCGGTTAGTCGCTGGCTTCCC